TTTTGGGCTATAATTTTATTTTTTCGATATAATTTTATATATAATTTTATAATTTTATTTTATTTTCAGATCGGTGCCGGTTACCGGCTGTCCCGGGCCGCTGCCGCGCCTCCATCCCGCGCTGGTTTTTTGACGCCCCCTCGGGCCGTTGCCGCCGTTTCGTGTTCGGCGGCTGCGGCGGAAACGGAAACAACTTCGGCAGCGAGAGCGAGTGCCGCGAGAGCTGCGGTGAGGGCCCGCGTGTCGCGACACGGACGGGAGATATCGCGAGAAAACGGGGAGATATCGCGAGAGAACGGGGGGATATCGCGAGAAAACGGGGGGATATCGCGAGAAAACAGGGAGATATCGCGAGAAAAGGGGGAGATATCGCGAGAGAGCGGGGAGATATCGCGAGAAAACGGGGAGACATCGCGATGCAGCGGGGAGATATCGCGATACAGCGGGGAGATACCGCGATAGACCGCGGATGTCGCGAGAAAGAGGGGAGAGCTCGCGAGAGAGCGGGGAGATATCGCGAGAAAATGGGGAGATACCGCGATAGAGCGCGGATGTCGCGAGGAAGAGGGGAGATCTCGCGTGAGAGCCGGGATATCGCGAGAAAACGGGGAGATATCGCGATACAGCGGGGAGATACCGATTTTTCCCATTTTTTTCCCATTTATTTTCCCCATTTTTTTCCCATTTATTTTTCCCTTTTCCCCCATTTTCCCCATTTTTTTTCCCATTTATTTTTCCCTTTTTTCCCATTTATTTTTCCCTTTTTTTCCCATTTATTTTTTCCTTTTTTTCCCCATTTATTTTTCCCTTTTTTCCCCATTTTTCCCATTTATTTTTCCCTTTCTTTCCCATTTATTTTTCCCATTTATTTTTCCCATTTATTCTCATTTATTTTTCCCCATTTTCCCCATTTATTTCTCCCAATTTTCCCATTTTTTCCCATTTATTTTTTCCTTTCTTTCCCCATTTTTCCCATTTATTTTTCCCCTTTTTTCCCATTTATTTTTCCCTTTTTTCCCTTTTTTCCCATTTATTTTTCCCATTTATTTTTCCCTTTTTTCCCTTTTTTCCCATTTATTTTTCCCTTTTTTTTCCCCATTTTTCCCATTTATTTTTCCCATTTATTTCTCCCAATTTTCCCATTTTTTCCCATTTATTTTTTCCTTTCTTTCCCCATTTTTCCCATTTATTTTTCCCTTTTTTCCCATTTATTTTTCCCATTTATTTTTCCCCATTTTTTCCCATTTATTTTTCCCTTTTTTCCCATTTTCCCCATTTATTTTTCCCTTTTTTTCCCCATTTTTTCCATTTATTTTTCCCATTTATTTCTCCCAATTTTCCCATTTTTTCCCATTTATTTTTTCCTTTCTTTCCCCATTTTTCCCATTTATTTTTCCTCATTTTTCCCATTTATTTTTCCCTTTCTTTCCCATTTATTTTTCCCTTTTTTCCCATTTCTTTTTTCCTTTTTTTCCTCATTTTTCCCATTTATTTTTCCCATTTATTTTCCCCTTTTTTCCCAATTTCCCATTTATTTTCTCCCACTTTCCCCATTTATTTTTCCCATTTATTTTTCCCATTTTCCCCATTTATTTTTCCCATTTTTTTTCACCAATTTTCCCTTTTTTTCCCCATTTCTCCACAGATCCCTCCAGCCCTGCCCCCACCAATTCCACCTCCCCAGGTAATTCCGGATTTTGGGGGGGTTGGGGACGGATTTGGGGAATTTTGGGGAATTTGGGGAATTTTGGGGGGAAATTGGTGCAAAATTCC